GCGCTTATGAGCGCTTTTTTATTCCGGGCACTCCCCCGTTCCGACCAGGTAAGGGGCAGCATTGAAAAACGCTTATAAGCGCTTTATAATTCTTGCCAACCCATGCCATGGGTGATAGGAAAAGTGGTAGAAAAGCGATCATAAGCGCCTATAAGCGCTTTTAAATCCTGACTCTGCCGGTGCACCCCAGGTTGCTCAGAAAAGCACATGAAAGTTCCAACCAGGTTAAGGGGAATTGAGAAATCGCTTATAAGCGCTTTTAAATTCCGGGCACTACCCCGTTCCGACCAGGCTAGGGGCAGCATCAAAAAAGCGCTTATAAGCGCTTTTTAATTCCTGCTCACCTGGCCATGGATGATAGGAAAAGCGGTAAAAGCGGTGAAATAGCGATGAATTAGCCGTAATAAGCGATTTCTAAAAAACCGCTTATAATCGATTATAAGCGTTATAAGATGTAATATAGCGTTTTCCTGACTCAATTTTAAAAGAGCTTATAAGCGCTTTATTTGCGCTTTACAAACAGCTAAATTGCACCCCAATTATAAGCGCTTATAATCGCTTATAAATGGTTCAAAAAAGCGCCTACGAATCGCTTATCCGGCCAACCGCTTATCCACCTGTTTTTGGCGCCAATCCTACTGGAAAACCGTTTTCAAATCGCTCAGCGACGCTAGTAAGCGCTTAAAAGCGCTTAAAAGCGCTTATAAGCGCTTTTAAATTCAAAAAAGCGCTTTTTTGAATTATGACATCAATTATATTCGATTATAAGCGATTTTTTTTGAACCGTTTATAATCGTAAAAAAAGCGATTGTAAACGGTTTTTTTTAAAAAGCGCCGAAAAAGCGCTCAATAAGCGATTATCGGCGCCGATCATAAAATATCGTTTATGGAAACTTGCCTGAACGACCCCTAAACTAACCGCCCGTATTTAAAACAAGTAACTCATCATAATAAATAAAAAGTTTTATTTTTGTGCACCTTTTCAACCAAACCTGGTGACTATTCTCATAACCTGGTGTGTAGTCAGTAGCAAAGTTGAAATTGAGAACTGTCACTCTGTTACACACTACCTTTAGGTGTGTAGAAGTTTTGGTTATTATCCAGTGTTTGAGTTTATCAGCTGGTACATTGTTTATAAACTGTGTATTGTAATTCCCTGGAGTACATCCCCCAATATAATAACTCCACTGATTGGTTTTAGCATCTCTATAAATCAGAATTTCTTTCTCACTACTCCCACCTTCCCGAGGTAGAGTATACCACACTTCAATATAGTTCTTTGACTCTGTAGTGTTAGTTATCATCTGTACTGGTTCGTAGTGTGACAGGGGGTAGTAAGTGTCAATAACACACTGTATCCAACCTAGAAATATATTAAATATTATATATGGAACACTTGATTGATACGTAAATAACGTGTCAATACTAGTAGTTACTGCGTAACTATTAGTAACTAGTAGTTATAGTAGTTATTAGGTTTGTTTAAAAATAAAGAATTCTGAAAGTTTCAATTGTAGAAATATCTTAATTAACCTATTACATGTAATACCATTTACCTGATTCTATTTCCTCAGTTTGATTAGCAACATCTTTACAATCCTCACCATCACTGTCTTGTACATCTTCAGTATTTTCATCAACTTCTAGCTCTTCTTTAGAGCTACTTGACTCTTCAGTATTTCTCCCTTTAACAAACTTCTCTACAACCGCTTTCGTTTCAGCACATTCAGAATGTTCAGTTACAGCGGCCATAACTTCACATAAATCATTTAATTCCGAAGGGAAAGTACGGCTAAACTTTTGGAAATCTAGTTTTTGAAGCATGTACAGGGAATTCTCATCCAATCCTTTGCATTTTAAGGTTAATGAAATATAGGATATGAGACAGTTGCCGATAATGTTCAAGTTATTCGCAGCAATAGCGAGGGACGTGTCAATCCTACGTTTGGAAATCTCAGCAAATCCAGCCATATATCTGTGTAAGAAGACGAATTTTCCAATTTCACCGAAAGTAACATTCTTCACAAAGCAGCTGACATATCTGCTGTCTTTCAGATTATAATGCGCCCTGCTAGCAATCTCACAAGCAAATAACATTTCTTCGTACGAGTTTTTCTCAAACTTCAGTACTTCTGCTTTATAAAACGTTAGACATCTCTTAGTCAACCAGGACACATCGAATACATGTGCCATTTTGTTTACATCTTCAAAGATGTCTTTTTCTAGTTTATCAACTTCACCAGAGTACAGCGCTTCAACAAAACAGTCGACTGCCTGTTTTGTGAAATCGTCCATTTCTAGCGTGGACTGAAATTGTGCAGGATATTAATATATTTTACAGTTCATAACCGTACATTATTTAGAATCGAATTGTCAAATTTACCAAATAATCTTGTAAGCATTTAATTGAAAAGTAGCGAATTTCATTATACGAACAGTATTAAATATTTTACCTGAAACAGGTTGGTGGTGAGCTTGTCAATAACAGGACTGTTATAGGACATGATCATGGAATTAGTTCTGATCTCTTGTCCATCTCTCAGCTTAAGAAGCAGATTTCCGTGTACAGGAGAGTTGATGTGTTCTACACCAAAGTTGGCAGGTACTTTTATTTTTGGAGCCATAACGTAGCAACTGCTAAAACATAAATTGTGAATTTAGAGCCCGTAGAATTAAATACTATAATTGATAAATGTAACGTGTAGAACATTCCGAATTTAAAATGTGTATAAAAACAATTGGCAACAACCAAACAATAAAAAGGTACTATTCATTCAAAAAGTTGTGAGGAAGAATCAAATCAAAACAATAGAAATAATGTTTAACATGCCATAACAATACTCAATATCAAAGTGACTGCCAGCTTTTCTCAGTTCAAAATTTGAAATATTGCTTAAAAAAGGAACAAAATTAATTAATCTTGTCGTTTAAAACAAAAAGCACATTGAGATAAATCACCTAAAACTGACCTCAGTTGATAAATTAGTTCAAAACTGAATTACGTTTATATTACAAGTACACTGTGTAAACACTGTTCAGCTGGTAAATAAGATAACATTTTAATAATCCGGAAAGAATTTCCACTAATTATAGTTTAGAGGTCAGATCTGCCTAATTTACATAAACTAACAGACCGTATTTAAAACAAGTGTATCACCATGATAATTAGAAAGTCTTATTTTCGTGCACCTTTTCAACCAAATCTGGTGACTATTCTCATAACCTGGTGTGTAGTCAGTAGCAAAGTTGAAATTGAGAACTGTCACTCTGTTACACACTACCTTTAGGTGTGTAGAAGTTTTGGTTATTATCCAGTGTTTGAATTTATCAGCTGGTACATTGTTTAGAAACTGTGTATTGTAATTGTTTGGAGTACATCCCACAATAATATAACTCCACTGTTTGGTTTTAGCATTTCTATAAATCCCAATATTTTGCTCACTACTCCCACCTTCTCCAGATAGAGTATAATACACAACAATACAGTTCTCTGACTGTGTAGTGTAAGTTATCATCTGTACTGGTTCGTAGTGTGACAGGGTGTAGTATGTACTCTTAACACACTGTATCCAACCTATAAATAATAGATTAAATATTATATATGGAACACTTGATTTGATACCGTGATACGTGTAAATAACGTGCGAATAAATACGTATAAAAGTATAAGAATAAAGAATTTTGAAAGTTTAAATTGTTAAAATACTTTAGTTAACCTATACTATTACATATTATATCATTTACTTGATTCTATTTCCTCAGTCTGATTAGTAACATCTTTACAATCCTCACCATCACTGTCTTGTACATCTTCACTATTTTCATCAACTTCTAGCTCTTCTTTAGAGCTACTTGACTCTTCAGTATTTCTCCCTTTAACAAACTTCTCTACAACCGCTTTCGTTTCAGCACATTCAGAATGTTCAGTTACAGCGGCCATAACTTCACATAAATCATTTAATTCCGAAGGGAAAGTACGGCTAAACTTTTGGAAATCTAGTTTTTGAAGCATGTACAGGGAATTCTCATCCAATCCTTTGCATTTTAAGGTTAATGAAATATAGGATATGAGACAGTTGCCGATAATGTTCAAGTTATTCGCAGCAATAGCAAGGGACATGTCAATCCTACGTTTGGAAATCTCAGCAAATCCAGCCATATATCTCTGTAAGAAGAAAAATTTGCCATTACCACTGAAAGTAACATTCTTCACAAAGCAGCTGACGTATCTGCTGTCTTTCAGATTATAATGCGCCCTGCTAGCAATCTCACAAGCAAATAACATCTCTTCGTACGAGTTGTTCTCAAACTTCAGTACTTCTGTTTTGTAAAACTTCAGGCATCTCTTAGTCAACCAGGACACATCAAATACACGTGCCATTTTGTTTACTTCTTCAAAGATGTCTTTGTCCAGTTTATAAACTTCACCAGAGTACAGCGCTTCAACAAAACAGTCGACTGCTGGTTTGGCGAAATCATCCACCTCAATAGACGACTGAAATGGGCCAGATATTAATTAATAAATTTAAGCATTATAAATTAAACATCGCCTAATAGAAAAAATAAATAGAAGTTTGATTGTAAGGATATTGAAAGCACATAATTGTACAGTCGTCAGTCAGTAGTCACCAATTTTATTGAAAGTATAGTCCTGCTCTTAATATTTATTAAAAATATTTTTTACCTGAAACAGGTTGGTGGTCAACTTGTCAATAACAGGACTGTTGTAGGACATGATCATGGAATTAGTTCTGATCTCTTGTCCATCTCTCAGCTTAAAAAGCAGATTTCCGTGTACAGGAGAGTTGATGTGCTCTACACCAAAGTTAGCAGGTACTTTTATTTTTGGAGCCATAACGTAGCGACTGCTAAAAATTAAATTGCGAATTGAGAGCCCGTAGAATTAAAGACTATAATTGATAACTGTAGCGTGTAGAACATTCCGAATTCAATGTGTATAAAAACAATTGGTAACAATCAAACAATAAAAAGGTACTATTCATTCAAAAAGTCGTGAGGAAGAATAAAATCAAAACAATAAAAATAATCTTTAACATGCCATAACAATACTTAATATCAAAGTAACTGCCAGCTTTTTTCAGTTGAAATATTGAAATATTGCTTTAAAAAAGTTATAACATTAATTAATCTCGTCGTTAAGAACAAAAAGCACATTGAGATAAATCACATAAAACTGACCACAGTTGATTAGTTCACAACCGAATTATGTGTATATTACAAGTACACTGTGTATACACTGTTCAGTTGGTAAATAAGATAACACTTGAATAGTTCGGAAAGTATTTCCACTAATTATAGTTTAGAGGTCATATCTGTCTAATTTACATAAATTAACCGCCTGTATTCAAAACAAGTAAGTCATCATAATAATCAATAAGTCGTATTTTTGTGCACCTTTTCAACCAAACCTGGTGACTATTCTCAGAACCTGGTTTGTAGTCAGTAGCAAAGTTGAAATTGAGAACTGTCACTCTGTTACACACTACCTTTAGGTGTGTAGAAGTTTTGGTTATTATCCAGTGTTTGAGTTTATCAGCTGGTACATTGTTTAGAAACTGTGTATTGTAATTGTTTGGAGTACATCCCTCAATAACATAACTCCACTGATTGGTTTTAACATCTCTATAAATCTGAATATATTCCTCAACTACTCCCACCTTCTCCAGATAGAGTATAATACACTTCAATAATGTTCACTGACAGTGTAGTGTTAGTTATCATCTGTACTGGTTCGTAGTGTGACAGAGTGTAGCTTGTGTAACTTGTGTAACTACCACACTGTATCCAACCTAGAAATAGATTAAATATTATACATGGAACACTTGATTGATACCTGTTAATAACGTGTCAATACTAGTAGTTACTAAGTAACTATTAGTTACTACTAGTAGTTATTTCGTTTGTTTAAGAATAAAGAATTCCGAAAGTTTAAATTGTAAAATTACATTAATTAACCAATTACATATTAAATCATTTACCTGATTCTACTTCCTCAGTTTGATTAGCAACATCTTTACAATCTTCATCATCACTGTCTTGTACATCTTCAGTATTTTCATCAACTTCTAGCTCTTCTTTAGAGCTACTTGACTCTTCAGTATTCCCCCCTTTAACAAACTTCTCTACAACTGCTTTAAGTTCAGCACATTCAGAATCTTCAGATACAGCAGCAAGGAAGTTGGTTAAATCATTCAAATAAGAGGGAAAAGTACGGCTGAACTTCTGAACATCCAGCTTCTGTAAAATGTACAGAGAATTCTCATCCAATCCTTTGCATTTCAGGGTTAAGGAAACGTAAGTTATAAGACAATTGCTAATGATGTTCAAATCATTAGCAGCAATAGCGAGGGACATGTCAATCCGACGTTTGGGTAGCTCAGAAAAACCAGCCATATATCTCTGTAAGAAGATAAATCTTCCATTTTCGCCGAAAGTAATATTTTTCACAAAGCAGCTGACATATTTGCTGTCTTTCAAATTATAATGAGCCCTGCTAGCAATCTCACAAGCAAATAACATTTCTTCGTACGAGTTGTTCTCAAACTTCAGTACTTCTGCTTTGTAAAACTTCAGGCACCTCTTAGTCAACCAGGACACATCGAATACATGTGCCATTTTGTTTACATCTTCAAAGATGTCTTTTTCTAGTTTATCAACTTCACCAGAGTACATCGCTTCAACAAAACAGTCGACTGCTGGATTTGCGAAATCATCCACCTCAATAGACGACTGAAACAGGCCAGATATTAATTAATAGAATTTAACCATTTAAGTTAAACATCGCCTAAAAGAGAAGTTTAATCGTAAGGATATTTATAGCACATAATTGTACAATCGCCAATTTTACTCAAAATATCGTCCTGCTCTTAATATTTATTAATAATATTCTTACCTGAAACAGGTTGGTGGTCAGCTTGTCAATAACAGGACTGTTATAGGACATGATCATGGAATTAGTTCTGATCTCTTGTCCATCTCTCAGCTTAAGAAGCAGATTTCTGTGTACAGGAGAGTTGATATGTTCTACACCAAAGTTGGCAGGTACTTTTATTCTTGGAGCCATAGCTTGAACCTTATAAATATTCTGAATAAGATTTTTAAAGACATTAATATTGATTTAATTTTCAATTAAATAGAAACTTTGACAACACCTCATCATTAGGACGAATAAAATTTATCAAAAAATTTAATGGTATTCATTAAGACTAAGTTTATCATTCTTCTTCTATTCACCAAGAATAGTTCTTTACTCGCGGTTTTGAACAGATGTTAGCAAAATTAAATACAAAATCAGTAATCACCATTATCTTCATTGTAATATAGATCTATTTTTGTAAACCATAAATTATTAATTTCATTAACTATAATTTATATTATATACAAAGTCTGTAAGTAACATTACAAATAATACTGAAATTTCCGATTCCAAACTTATTTCTGTATAATTATATTATGTCAATTGTTTATGTGTATAAGGTCATCTAGGATATGGATCATGTCAACAAAAAGATTCACCGACCAATCTTACTCCTCATAATGCAGATTGAAGTAAATTGAAAACAATCAAATGTATCACTCAACTTCCACCAGGAATTTGTCTAAAACAATCAATATTCATCAAGACAGCTTTACAATTCAACACTACTAAACTATTACTACAACTATGTTCAGTTATCATTCTTCTCAGTAAGCTGGCACTCTGTTTCAACCTGTACTTGGCAGGTTGGAGAGATGAAACTCGCTGAAGAAGTATGGAAACACTGGTGATTATTTCTGTGTCCCCCTCCTCCATTAGCTCTAACAATCTGTCCAGATAAGGCACCAGAGCAGGAAATATTTGGTCTGTGGGACCAGAGTTTAGGGTCAGCAGGATCAGAATGTTAAGAATGTACTTGACTTGGATTGGATCTGTCAGACAACTCAGTAAGACCTGACGGAGAAACGTATGTTATGAAAAGTCTACAATATAAGAATTCGTTTTAAACGAATCATTGGTCATATCAACAATTATTGTCGATCACAGCTGAATATCAGCGGTTTTACATTTAAGAACTGGTATGTTCCAGTCTTGGTTCCTTAACTCGACAATAGTAAGTTCTAAAGAGGGTGTTCTTGAAACTTAGAAGTGATAGTTTGTTGGTAACACTAACAATAATATATAAGTGGAATGTGGATTGGTGAGGCAAGGCACATTATTTGACACGTGACAGTGTTTCTGGGATTTGATTGATCAATAGTCTAGTCTGATTGGTTAATTTCGGTCACGTGTCACCTCCCCGCCAGGTTAGTACTCACATAATGGCCTGAGTTATCCAGAATGATATCAGCTGCCCCCTCCTCCTGCACATCTGTTACAATCTGTTTGAGTGACTTCTGTAGTGACTGTATCTGAAGTGAAGCTATGGGTTAAGCCTTGCATAATACTGGGGAGGTGACATAATACATCTTTTGAAACGTGACAGCAAAACTGAACTCTACACTGGATGAAAGATAAAGCAATAATTAATATTAAATAATCATAGACTTTGAAATTGAATACATATTTAATCTTAACATCAATTAAACTGAATTAGACGTTCAAATTTCAATTAAATGAATAAAACACGTTTCAAGCAGCAGTACCTGGAGGGAGGTTTTAGATAGGATTAGACAACTGAGAAGTCTACTGTGAAGATGAGCACTGTTAGAATACTGGCCCTCCGAACCCAGTACCTCCGCAATCTTCCTGAATATAACCTTGATCGTGGGAGAGCTGGACTCGGATTCAGCCATCACTCCAATACACTTCAGTGTGAGTTTCAGCACTGGATATTGGACAACAGCAGAGCTTTGTGTAACTTGCTTGAGGTATGTTGTAAGGGATGATAGGAGACTTGTGTGCTGATTTTGAAATGCTTCTTCAAATAGAGACGAAAAGTATTCTTGATCAATGTTAGAAAGAGCCCTCATCAAGATTTTTACTAATTCTGGATTCCTGGTGTCTTCTCTTTGGACTTGAGGTTTTGTTTTGGTGAGCCTTTTTCCTTTTGGTGGGGATTGAACGTTTTCTTTATTTTCTGAGATTTCTTTGATCTTAGCATTTTGTATTTTTATCAAGTTTTTGATCCTCCCATTAGCACTTGATAACTGTTTTTCTAGCTTGGCGTTTTTGGACTGCACAACCTCAACCTCGCTTTTCAGAGCAGCATGGTTCTTTGACATACTCTGAAAAGAATCCTTCAGCCTTTGATTTTCTTTCTTTAACTCTACAATCGAATTCTGGAGAGTAACAACTGTGTCCAATGCTCCCTTTTCCAACTTAGCCATCTCACCGTTCACCTTTTCCTGGAGATTTATCAGACCTTTCTCCTTTAAATCAACTTTAAGTTGCTGCTTATAAACTTGGTTTTCTTGTTCCTTCAACTCCCTTTCTCTTGACTTAATTGTCTCCAGTAAATCTTTAACCTCATTGCTCACAGTGCTCATCTCTTCGATAAAAGACGATTGAATAATCTGGTCGGGTGAGGAGGGATGCTCATAACCCCAAATTAAGCCACCATCACCAAAAAGGATATCAGTGCTAGCAGAGGATCCAGCTTTATACATTTTCTCGCTGCAAATATGAAAAGGGTAACTTGATATTTCTGTATTAATTCAGTGTTATGAATTATAACGACAATTTCAATTTTTGGTACTAAGATGATTTATATTAAGACATGAGTCATGAGATTATTTGACCAAACAAATGCATTAAAAACTTTGTGAAATGATACAATCTCATGGGATAGATCCGAATTGATAATAATAAATTTACCCAAACAAAAACTATGGGGTCACACATAAAACCAAAGTTTAAAAATCAAGCAAATGAATGCTCTCAATCCAAATTCTAAAAAATAAAACATATTTTTATTAAAAATATATTATCTTATATACTAGAAGCTCTTACGGGAAAAACTGCAACAGATTTGGCAACATAACAAATCATTGGACACAATAGTATAATATACTAATATATAAGGAACCAGATTTACTCCATACATAATATCGTTTTTAAAGCGTTGAAATGGTCTAGAAACCAGCTTCATTAAGAATGCTGGCAAAATTTAAATGTTCAAAATTTCAAATAATCCCCGTAACAGCTCCTACTAATAAGTTGTAAGTATCAAACTTTTATAAAAGAAGCAAATGTGTCATAATTCAAAATCAAAATACAATATAATTTAGCATAAATTTCAGTACTTATAAATCCCGATTACTTATCCAGCCACTGAAAGAAATTGCACCTGGATGATTTAGATGATGAAGGGCCTATGGGCAACGAACAACAGTAGAATCTTTTTCCAAAATTAGGACCTTCTTTTGTAACAGTCTTTAAAGACGATTTAAGTTGATGACCTGAACATACTGGTGGTGTAGGTAAGCCTCTCAAAAGTGACTTTACAGAAACAGCACTGCTGGGAGTTGCTGTATTTGGAGGAGAGCTTGCCTTTCTTTTGTGATTAGGAAGTGCTTGGGGTTTCTGTACTTTGCTGCATTTAGCAGAGAACATCAATTTAGTCTGAGTACATTGTTTTTGAGTTGCTCCTAGACCACTGTTGGTTTTTTGTTTTTTTCCAGGATGACTGACTAATTGTGTACTATTCTTTTCAATCATCATTTCGGCCTTCCTTTTAGAAAACATAGATGAGAGACTTGTTTGCTTTCCTCGCAGCTCAGGGTAAAATATTGTGCATTCTGGTGGAACAGTTGGACTGGGCAAAACACTGAAATCAATCTCTGTTGAAAATGGGCAATGGTCAGAGCCAGTTATGTCTGACATAATTGAGCATGATTTTATCAAAGTTTTACTTGATTTTGATAGAAGAATGTAGTCAATTCTGGTTCCATAGTTGTTGATCCTTCCATTTAATCCAGCATTCCAGCATGTGTAGCATTCTGGTTTGTTAGGATATAGATACCGAAGACAGTCAACCAAGTGATCATCAAGAAAAGAATTGAAAATAATTTTATCAGGTGAACTATGCCATTCTGCAATAAACTTAGAATTATGCCTATTTTCGAATGCTTCAGCACTGTCAATAATCCGAGTTTTCACATTAAGATCTCCTGCTAACACAACATCATTGTTTTCCTCAATTAGTTTGGAAACATGAGCTTTCAGATTTTCAAGAAATTTTATTTTCTTTTCGTACTTTTCACCATCACCAGGATATGCACAAGGTACATAGACATTTACAATAACCAGTATTTTTCCATCACTTTTCTTGTGGTAGCTTGCTATCACTCGGCCTAAGATGGAATAAGTAAACAACCTGATGGAAATCGCTTGGATGAGAAACGTCAATACATATTTATGTCATTCATATGTACAGAGTAAGTTGGCACTGCTATGTTAAATAGATAGGACTTCAGCTTTTAAATATGCAAATTAAATTCAAATGAATGTGGATGAGAACAAGGTCATAAGAAAATGTAAAAACCTTCTTGATCAGAGTCTAAATTATCAGCAAGAAGATCGACAAAGTGAGGACAGTATGCCTTCTTGACATAAGTAGCAACTCCAGCCTGACCTTGTTTCTTTAATGGGTAGTTGAAAAACGAGTAGAAATCACAACATTTTGCAAGCTCGTTATCTGCAAATGTTTATAATCAAATTTACATTTATTAATTTCATAACAAAATTTAATCTAATACCTATTGGAGACATTATGATCTCATTGTATTCTTGGTGGTAAGTGTACATCCAGCCGATTGAAGTTTTCGGTTGTCAATTAATATAACAATAGTAAGCACTTGTACGATTAATGATACAATCTACTATACTTGCACAAATAAATAAAATGTACCTAACTGGGCTCTTGAGATTTTGGTTTCTTGTAAGCAGAGGATATCAGGATCAAGGAGGCTAATGTGTTGTCGAAAGTTGTCAAGAGTGCGCAGACCATTTACATTCCAGGTGATTATCTTCATAGACTGGTTAATTTTTTTTTTTTATTTGAAAATTCAATTAATCATTATATATATAAATCAAGCGTTACATTTCAGCCATGCAAAATTACGATGACATATTTTGATTACTAAATGATAAATGGTACTGCAATATAAGTTGCTTAATGTTTGGCCGGATGACAACTAACGAGAAAAATAAACTTGATTATATAATAATTAATTCGGCTGAACCAACACATAGCAAGAGCCACATTAACGTTGGGGCCGTTAAAAAATTGTTTTTTTGTTTTAAAAATTGTTCAGTTACTAAGTTATTATTTGCAAGAAAATCTTCAAACCCTTAGTATATGAGGCTTGTAGAATAGATTCGGATACATAAATCTTTCAGCTCCTCAGCTGAGCGTGAACAACGTACACCCCACAACAGGTGGCTCAGCGGAAAATTGAACCTGGTACCTTGTGAAATGGTTCAATCAATTTCAACGAGCAGGCAGATTTACCAACTGAGCCACTCAGCCTGTATTAAAACAATTAAAGAAAATTACTCTTAATACTTCCAGAAAATGGACCGTTTAATTTTCAAGGGTATTCAATTTTCAAGAATTTCACAATTTCTTCAACCATATTTTTGTTACCTATGTATTGTGATGTGCTAATTCAATGAAACAATAAGTTTTCAATGAAACAATAAGTTTTTTACTCGCTGCATTGAAAGCCGTCAAGACAAATAGAAGGAGGATTACAGGAGGATTACAGCCAGAATATAATAAGGAGTGTGCCGGTAGCAGTAAGAGGTGTACGTGGGAAGGGAAAAAAGGCATGTACCATCCCTATATCCAGTTGCCAGTGTCTTCTTCAATGTAATGTGATCCCTGAGGATCAGGAATAAAGCTGTGAGGGATAGCTGAGATTTATAATTGCTCGTGATTTATCATTGTGCTTTGCCAATTGCATCACTTGATTTAATTTATTGTATATATTGTTTGAAACTCAACGAAACTAAAATTAATGAGATCCAGAAGATGAGGCAGATGAATGAGAAGCTGAAGGGGAATGAAGTGACAAGGAGATAAGTGGGGAGAACACAGTAAAAAGTCATTTAATTTCAAAGACCAGCATGATTGTTGTATCACGTCGTGACCCCCATCGTCGTTTCACTATATAATAGTGGAACGCCTGTAGAGTTTATACGATACAGGGGAGCCGCGCACTCGTGCGCGGCGGGTCATACAACGTATGACAACATGATTGGTAGTAGGAGGAAAATCCTACAAGGCTTTTTTGTAGAAAAACTGTACGGGAAAGAAGAGGGACGTACAACGTGTTATGTATCAAACACCGTATTGTGTATGCTGTAGTATATTCAAAATACAACCAAATACAACAGAGTTGTAATTTATTTTTTAATCTACTGCTGTATCGACGCGTGCGTGCCAAAACAAATATTCATGAGTATCAGCTGTAAAATTTGATTCATGATTGTTGTTACTCGTCTAAATTTCTTCGAAGTAGCGCGCGCCGGGTTACGCAATTAACAATGGACAACTGAGAGATCAAAGATTAACGAGTGAATTTTTATGAAATAATTGTTCATGACCGTCGTGCGTCAATCATAAAAAATAAACGAGTTCAATGGTCGACGCACGACTAGTTTGGCCCGGCGCGCGCTACTTCGTAGCCTCATGATTTTGAGAAGAAAGCGGTGTGGGCTGCCGCGGGCTACTTCGAAGAAATGTAGACGAGTAACATTCGCCAAGTTCAACTGTACTCGGCGCGCGTCTTGATAGGTTATAATCCTACAACTGTACATGTATTAGAGAAACCAAGTTGTTTGCTATGCAAGACCCTCTTTTGTACCGTGATTCAATACTAGCAACTAGGCCGGAATGCATTTCACTTAAATATATTACTGTGCGGCCGCTTGTCACACGTTGTAGACCTGCCGCGCACGAGTGCGCGGCTGGGTTTCGCCACGATACCCAGTGAAACGACAATGGTGGTCACGACGTGATACAAGGCGGCGCTCAGCATGTCATTCCGCCGAACATAATTGCCTGGGGTCCCCTTGTATCACGTGGTGACCCCCACGGTCGCTTCACTCTACCCCTGTACAGTTTCGACGATACAGGGGGAGCCGCGCACTCGTGCGCGGCGGGTCATACAACGTATGACAAGGGTCCCCAGGTAACATCTCACACGGACACATTCTGTCATTTTATTTTGTATTCGTTGCAGGGATAATGACGGACATCATAAATCATAATCAATGCTGAATGGAGCTGGAGTATCTACTAATAATAATATCTATTTATAGGCACTGGATAATCGTGCATCGTCAGCATCTTCCATTTCTTATTTCTAATACATTCCAATCAAATTTTTACCATTTGTAAACCAACTGTGAACCAACACTGAACAAATAAAAACCCGTTTTTCTTCTAACAGGCAAAAAACTGTAAAATAACAATGAAAATTACAATCGGGTAAAATGTAATAAAACTTGTCATAATCATAGCATATTAAAACCATGATTTCAAATATAAATAATTGGGCTACTCTATAATCTATTTAGAAATAACCACCAAATAACACAGAAAAGGCCATCCTGAGACATCAATGTATATCGAGAGTTATATTAATATACCATTTTATTTTCCGCATTCTAAAACTAAGTGGGTCAAATAATCAGATAAAATAAAGGATGGACCGTTAGATAACGTAACATAAGATTACATCTTTGCAACTTCAATACCCTACATCTCGAACAGAACAGAAAATGTATCATAGACTTGGAATGTGTAATGAGACAGGTGCCAGTAAAGTTCACGCCACCCCAGTGAATTCGACCTGCTCTCTCAAGGTCCGTAACCGTTCAGACAACTCGTGAATATCAGTTTGTGGTAAAACAGGTATTAACTTTTGGTTTAAATCTACACTCTCGATATAGTCCACACTCGAGTTGAACTCTTTGACGTTCTCCAGGAACTTTAATACTTTGCTTAGCTGTTCGTCCAGTTGTTTACATAGGGGACCTGAAATTATTTAACATTTACTTTTGGTAATCTTGTCCTGTATCGTAGATTCTTATTGTATGGTGAAGATCTATATGACAACTAAGAATACTGTAGACTGAAATTATAGTCCGAATAATCGTAATTATCTTTGTATATTCAATTAAGTGCACCATTGGTGCCACTCAATTTGATATATTATCTACTAGAAATATTGGCATAAAAGATACTCACCGATGTCGTTAATATCAACAGCAGGCCTATGAGCCCAGTGTTTAAACTCCTCATTGTAACAGCCGCTAAACGTCCCAATTATCTGACTTAACGTTCCCAAAGTATTAGTTAAGGTTTTCTTGTGTCCTACTAATCTCTCGCTGTCCAGTTCCTCGTATGATGGGTGTTCGTTTTGGATTGCTGATAGCTTTTCTTGGATTGTTTCCAGTTCTTCTGCCAGCTTTCCTGAGCGGTCCTGGTGGAGAATGGGTTGTGGCTGATATAGGCTTAAAAGCAGTTTATTAAAATGATAATCTTACATTTTACAGTATATGTTATTGATTTAAATAAAGCTACTATAATAATACGGCTAATCCAGCACCAGACCGGCCAAATGCTGGATTTTAATGCCACAGCATCTTTAGCCGGACTAAATTAAACCTCGAAAGATTCCGATTTGTTTGAGATTGAACTGATCTGCAGTTTGGAGCATATTATCAGTGCTACTAATACAACTGAAACAGAATAAGCGTAGGCCGTTTTCGGGATAGAAACATAAGAGTAATGAGTATAATACTAAAAGTTCCCTACCAGGAGTTTCTCCTCAGAAGGCTGAGTTTTCTTTCCCGTTTTATTAAAACACATCAAACTAGCAGGAAAAACATCAAGATCCGTCCTAAACAGGTCCTTGAAGTTGCTAGAGTTGACCAGACCATCCACCAAAGAGAAACAATCCCGGGAGGTGTTATTACACAAGTTAACACTGTTCTTATCGTGGGAGAGGTTGGGGTCACGTGGTGTACCACCTGACACACTCAACATCTCCAGAGCCCGTGTGTAGAACCTGCTCTGGCGCTTTACCGAGCAGTTACCCTGGATTATCTCGTAGTCGTTTCGTCCGCAGAGTCCCAGACCAGAGCACACTTTTAGTAACCTGTGGGGGAGGGGTTCATTTTGGGGGTTGAGTCTTAGTGGCGATTCATTAATGTTTAAATTGGATGAGTGATGTTAAATTGTGGAATTTGAGAAGGGTGGTGCTAGTGCAGGATCATTAAAATGTATCAGATTGTATAAGGAGGCTGTAAGAACACATTGCTTCTTATTTTACAACTGTTAGCCGTTCCTTTAAATGATATTGTGTTATTTCTGAACATACTCCATCCTTCATCTGTCTCATACTTCCCACACAAAATCTTCTCTTCTATAATGCTGTACATTTGAGGCAAAGTTTAAAACATCGAATTTTAAATTCATTATGGTTAACAGAAGGATTTAAATTTCTCGACGTGTCATTTCTTAACCTAATGATTAATTGGATTTGATAATCGTGGATAAACAGTTATCACACATTCGTCGTACAAACTTTAGTGAGTAAAGTTGATTGATTTATCATATACCTTAGTTCAAATCTCTTTCGTTCTATAGTGATCCGTAAATCGTTTTCTAGGCTGGAAATAAAATGGTCACCCTGAGGCTGCTGCCATTGATAGTCATGATAACAACAGTGTTCTGCCACGACCCCAACATAGCTCTAAGATTTGGAGATGATCTGACGAGTTACATCATGCTAAGTCCCAACATGGCACCATTGGAGGAAAGCTTATCTCTCTGCTCGTGGGTTAAACAACTTAGTCCAGAGAGTCGCACAGGATGTATACTTCACTATAGAACCATAAACCGTGACGAGATAACCCTTTCTGATAACTTGGTCTGGGCCTATCTATTAACAATGGCTCCTCACAATGTGACTCCAGTCCACTCCCAATGGTACCACGTGTGCCTGACCTGGACCTTTAGTAGCAGGACTAAATCACTCTACTATAACGGACAGAAGGTTGGAACAAGAACAACATCGTCAGGAAGAAAGTTTGACATAAATAAAAGAGCTATTGTAATTGGACAGCATCATCATAGATCCCCGTTTGATACAGATTTCTACTCAGGAAAATCGTTCGCAGGGGAACTAGCAAAGTTGAACATTTTCAAACGCAGATTATCTGACGAGGAAGTAGCTGGTATGTACAGCTCTGGTATCTGCTCCAGCTACGAGGAATCTCTAGCTGAAGATAACTTTCTGTCATGGACCACGCTACTGGGTGACGAAACAGAGAGGCACGGCAACGTTGTTAAGTTCAACTTGACATGCTCTGCCCACACTCACGAAGTTACCAGGACGACCACAGCACCGCCCCCTACTTCACAACCTACTGCAGAGGCTGTGGAGACATGCAACAACCGATGGGGACTCCTTCAATTGTCCGACTATTACAACAAGGTGAGAATATCATGCTAGACGGGAATGGTAAGTTTAGGTCTGCAAGTAGGTGATAATTAGCAATGTTTAACGTTTCTAACATGTAGATATTGTATTGGCATTTAGATTGAATCGGTTACAGATCCCTAAAGGATGTAATACAGCTGAACCATTTGTAGATTCATTTCAAGACCAAAATAATGCCGTAATGCGCCAAATCTAACGAGATAACATTTAGGAAGTAACAACGGAGCTGCTGGAGGACCTACGAGACCGTTGGGAACAACTCGCAGAATTCCGTGGACATCTCCTAGATGATGCTCTGATAGCCCATCTGTCAAAACACCACTGCAACACTGACGAGGAGTGAGGTAAATTGTTCTGGAGCAGAGAAATGGACTTCTTGGTTTTACTGGAAGAAATATGACTGGATACGCTACTTAATTAATACATGATACATTACGGTTTAATTTCTACTTTTTCTTGAAAAATATTAAATAGTTTTTTAACCCTAATAATAGCGATTAGATATGAGATTTTAATTTTAAGTTCCCATAGTTATAACTTTATGACGAATGTTCAATTTTAACTCATTTGGACTTTCGGTAAATTTTGTTACTTTAAATATTATAGTAAATAGTTATTTTCCCTATTTTAACCGAAAAACAGTTTTTTGTCATATCTTTGCTTATGAATACCCCATATCCAATAAAGACGGTTCAATAATTTTAACGATAAGCTCATTTCGAGCTATCAAAAAGTAAAACATGTATTAACATGATAAAATTAAACACATATGAACACAATTGAGTACCACTAAATAATACAACATAGCATACCTCTGAATCTTTGAGTCCTTGACATGGGCGGAGAGGACAGGACTGTTCAGCTCCGTGTCGATGTGGGGAGACAGTTTACTGATCAGCCACGTAAAGAACCTCAGTCTGGCTTCTCCTGCTCTGTGGGGAGATTACAGTCGTCAGCGTAAGGGGTCGTTCACATGTTACGTAATCAATATTTTAGCAATTTCTATCCCCTCCACCCCTCCGTAATCAACCGTAATCAAGACCCAACCCCCCTCAGCTCCTGACAGAAATATTACGTAATCATGGCCTGACCCCCCCCCCCCCCCCCCCCCCCCCTTGACTTTTGTCCCTAGAAAACACTTTTCTCTACGTTTCATGCTACCCTAATCATGCTATCATGATATAAGAGGAGAAATACGTATCGTACCGGGGGACAAATACGTACACGATACAAGCAGTCGGATAAGTACGTGCGATACAAGCCGTATTTTATTCTTGAAAAATACTAAATTTTCAAGATGTCATTTTCCCCCGAAATATTTATTTTCTTAGGCCATCGTTCGATAAACTTAAAAGTTTTTACAGGCACTACACTATGGTTGACACTGAACGTTTTGCTGTTTTTGAAAATCATGCTGCGGCCAAAGCGCGTGCTAACTCTAATGTCTAGTAAGATTTTGGCCCCCTCATGAAGAAAATCACCCCTGTTTTACTGTACAGTCAAACCTCCGTTTGATGAGGTAATATTGCAGATAATTTAGCGATATATCATAGTAATTAGTTTTACACTAAGTACAAAACTGCAAATCTATAACAATTATTGAGCATTATGTAATGGGATGGAAGCGTTTAACCAGGTGTACTCCATAATGAAGAATTAGTTGAAATTCTAGATGAAAACCTCGAATTAGTTGAATAATATATTACTCTATAAAAGTAATCTATAATATAACGTTATATTAGTAATATAATATTACATAACATAATAACAAGTAACCTGAAAAGAAGTTCTTTGAGAGACTCGTTGTCTAGAGCACTGATGTAAGGACACCCCAACCCCTCTAGCGTGTCCCGGTAGTAACTGTAGTCCACTGTATCCGTCATTACTGTCTAGTTAATAGTTAATTATTATCATTACTGTCTAGTGATCAATTAAGTGATTAGTTGGATGATTAATTAAGTGATTAGTTGGGTGATTAATTAAGTGATTAGTTGGGCGATCAATCAAGTGATTAGTTTGATGATCAATTAAGTGATTAGTTGGATGATTAATTGAGTTGTGATTTTAATTACATTTTGTGCGAGATAACTGATAAGTTGAAGCAAATAGAGGACACATGCTTGTTTTGACACTTGGCCGTAACTAACCAGAAGTTCTGAAGTTTAAGATTTATTACTTATTGAGTTTTAAATTGTCACAACGAATATGTGTGTCTACTGTCTGCTCAAAAGTGCAGTTTTTCAAAACCGTCATTATTTTCAAGTTCAGTATCCAATAAATTATCTTAGGACTGGAACTAGACAGAAACAACAGATGATCAGGTCACAGTTGCAGTTGTAAATCAAAAGCTGGACAAGAAATACCAATAACAATCCATACTCAGAAAAGATAACCTTTAATATCCAATTATGAAACGTCTTCCATCTCGGCTCATTCTCAAATCACGAGTTCCGGTTTAAAAACAAAGAATAGTTGAGCTTTGCTGGAAGATTAGTTAAGATTCGGATCATTTTACTTAATGGGACGCCGCAATACCATAACCATAGGTAACCATTGGAATCGAATTCTATCATCAATATTACGTGATCGAGAAAATTATAAAATTCAACGCTTATTTACATTTGTGATGATTATCTATACACAGTTACATAATAATATAATGATGTGATAAACGTAAAATTAAAATGTAGTTGGTTTATACATTTATAAAATATACCTCTATTTTGATAAATCAAAGTTACTGTTTACACTGCAAAACCCTATTCTTCACAGAAATTAATCTTACAATTTACAATTTTCTGCTCAACAGAAACAAATCCACTATTTAAACATGCTCTGCTATAATATCTGTCATTCAAAATTCTGTCAAAGTTTAAAGTTCTGTCATCTAAAAATATTTACCTACACAACCTCACAACCTGCTGTATTCGGATTTTTAAGTTATTGATAAGAAAAGTTAACAGTGCTATTTACACAATTCCATCCTAAACACTACTTTTAACTACAACATATCCAATTTGTTACTGGCCAACATTTCTTGTTTCTCCAAATAAATGAGCTGATCAACAGAAAAACAGTCGGAAGTGAACTCCGGAACCCAACTCCTCAGAGTGCTAACAATTATCTCTTCCGACACGATATCTTCCCCGAACCTAGCGTCCTCCAGGTAACAGTATATCTTGTTAAAAAGATTTGGTCCCAGTCTCTGTTCACATTTAGCACGAAGTGTCCTGATTCTATCGCTTCGCAGCACGATGGTTGAAGATTTGGTGTAGTCGGATTTGTTTGAGGTGTTTGAAATATTGGGATCTGATCTGTCCAAGACATTTGATCTGTCCAGTTCGGATGATTGGGAAACGTGTGATAATGATCTATCTAGATCTGATGCTTGTGAAACATCTGATAAATGCAAATCCGACATGTCCGATAAGTTAAAATTAGCCATAGGATCAGAATTAGAGTTTAGAGGAAGGCTGAGGTTAAGCAACTGGCTGGCAGTTTTTCTAGACTTCAAATCAAGACTCGAGGCTCGTTTGAAAAGTCTGGAGTCAGTAAAAATAGGAGACTCCAGTTCCTCGTCGGGTGTCTGCTGGACTTCTTCCTCAAAATCTTCAAACGAATAAAAAGTATTCGCGTCATCCTCGTTTTCGGGAATCTGAGAAACTGAAGTCATCTCCAGATTGCTGATGTCGAGAAGGCAAACCTCGTCCGCAGTCTCAAACAAGAGTGCCTCCTCGATACTGTCAGAACTATCTGATAATGTGTTTGAAGTGGGATCTGCAGCACTGGCTCCTGTCGCTAGGAGCTCTGCAGCACTGGCTCCTGTTGCTAGGAGCTCCGATTTGATTTGGAACAAGGGGTCCTCAGAAGTGGTTACACTGGAAGCGAGCTGCTCTGATTTGTGAAGTGACAACAAGGGGTCCTCAGAGGGAGAGCTACTAGAATTGTTGCAGTGTTGCTCTAACTGACCTACAAAATCGTCTATTGTAGAGTTAGAGTTGGACGAATTTGGGCTGGGTGTGCTGGTTTTATCTTTGAGTTCATCCTCATCTGAATCGGGAGTTTTATCAGGATTACCGTCCACCTCAACCACATTACCCAGACCCTGACTCTCTCTGATGGCTTTGGATAGTGACTCCGCTTTTGCATACTCTAAAGACTTCTCGATCGCTTCAAGCTGGCGGTCAACTTCGTTTTTAGCGATTTTGGGGGTAGGTACTCGTTTACGTGGTTCGGGGTGTATGGCAGTCATAGGTCGACGTGAGCTGGGGGATTGGGAATTCGAACCGGGCGATTGGGATTTGGGACTGTAGCGGAAATCTCTGTCGTGCTTTATTACACCTGAAATAATATTGTAATTGAAGTGGCGACTGTTTTTAGTGAACTCATCGCTAAAATGATTGTATAATTATGTAGAAGATGCTACGGTTGGGATAGTTTGGATATAAATTACCGTTTTACAATGCTTTTTATGAAAATGAGGATTATATCCACAATTTATCTTACTAGGATTTATAGCCTTAATCTCGAGGCCGAGGGAAGGGCTGCTTTGTTGAATGATATTAGGGCGGTTGTGTTCCCTCTCCCTCCGCGCGGCGGTTCGTGCACGGTTAGCTGCAAAGTTCTCTGTTGCTGCGTGGCGTAGCTGCTCCGCAGACTCGTCTGCTCGCTTTTGCTTTTCTAGCCTGGTTACGTGTTATATTATCAGTAACAGTAATAAACAAATTCGAATGAACTTGACATGTACCAGATCATATAATAAAATATAATTAAAATTGTATCGGAGTAAGAAATCTAAAAGTGTCCTTTTATTTTCAAAGAGGATGTCCCGCTCAATTACACGAACAATTGTTACCTCATCCGTTCCCTAGCAGTCATCTTCCTATTTCCTATTCCACTCTCCACACTCGTCTGAGAGGAAGCACTACTGACATTCCGCTCCCTTTTCTTGCTGTGTAAACGTTTGCGGAGTAAGGACACGTGGGCAGCTATGATGGGTTCAGTGAGAAGTTGGGAGGAGGAAGGACGCTCGTGGGGGTCCTGTGTTAACATCCTGATAAGAGGATAATCCTTAGACCTTAATTTAAATGATTTTAAAGCAATTAAAAGCAAACCTGGCCTAGCTCAAGAATTGCATACGCCTACTTTTGCTTAATAGCAGTTAAAAAGCAGGTTGAACTTAATAAGATTCCCAAGAATGTACTAACTTGATGAAGATAGGAGCTAGCTGGCCCCGCTCAGAAGATAAAGTGGGAAGTTTACCCTGGATGATCCTCATCATTACACTCATCAGGTTCTTCCCTTCAAACGCTCGTTTTAACTCGCATATCTCGTACAGAATCACACCCAGCGACCTACCACCGAGGAAGATGTAATTATTAATACGGGGGCATTATAAAATGCAGGGATAATTACGCCAAAGTAACTTTTGACTACTGAGTCACAGATTGTAACCGTTGCGGGGGGACACTCACCAAATATCACTCTTGCTGCCGTAGCCGTCGTGTTTGATAACCTCAGGTGACATATAGTAAGGAGTGCCAGTAAATGTGCTGGCGTACTCGGTTGATGTAAGGATGCGGGATATGCCGAAATCTCCTGCGAGTTTTACAGTTTTTAAACATTTTGAATGTATTTACAAAGCTTCATACGTTACTATCAAATTATTTTCTTTTTATATACGTTGTAGCCGATTAAATTAGTAAACAATTTCACCCACCAACTTTAACAGTCTTGTTTTTGGTGAGGAAGACGTTCTTGCACTTTAAGTCACGGTGCAACATTTTCTGAGAGTGGATGTATTGAACCGCCATTATCAGCTGAACAAACCAGTCCAAAGTTTGGTCCTGGGGGACTAAAACTCCTTTAGTTTTCCAAATCTTCAGTTCCCTGTCCAAGTCTCCCATCTGAGGTATGAGAATTACTAGAAGTTGGAGCAAAACAAAACTCATTAATTGTAGTGATGCGTGTCAGATCAAAGAGCCAATATATTCCAGACATACAATCCCCCGGCTGTTTGGCGTAAAACCGACCACGCCAGGACTGAAGGACTCGAACCTGGAATCTCCTGCGCCGGAAACAGGCGCCTTACCTTAGCCATTAGGCCACGCGGCCAACGACAACACGATCTATCCAATATTTAAATTTTGGATAACATTGTTGGTTATTGTATGATCAACCTTCACTTATGACTTGGGGCACACAAATTGTAAGGTAGGTCAGGATAGTGACTCAGGAACCTTGTATAGAACCTGACAGACATTTTCCTGAAAGAAGAGAAGGCTGATTTGTTGTGGCTTACCTCACAGTATTCCATTACAATGTAAAAAGATTCCTCGTTAACGAAACTCTCGAACATCCGAACGATATTGTGATGATTTAACTGAAACATGAGGTCAGTTAAAAAATAATTGTAAATTATCCACCATTGTGATTCACGAAATGCCATTTATTACATGTATAATTATGTCATCAGGACGGAATTTGACAAAACATATGATTTTCAAAATCAAGATTTCTGGCGCACTGACTGCCACCAATACTAAGCCTTTCTGCACAAGCGTGTACAAAAAACAAGTAATAGCTCGCGCGTTCCATACGGAACATGCCATACTTCAAAAAATTGAGATTAATAGAAAACAATCGAAACAAAGAACAGCCACAAGACCATGCGTCAGAAATTAATAAACAACACATGACAACTGTCATAACATGGCAAAATGCCACGAATAAAGCAGCCAATCACTGAAACCTTGGAAAGTAAGTTGGCTTCTCTGTCGACTGACTGAGTCTCGTGTTCGTTCATCTCCCCGATGCATATCTCTTTTAGCACTTTCCTGAAACAAAGTCAGGATCAGATTATAATATTGTGATCATTTCACAAAATTTTGCCATGATATGTATGGTATTCTAGATACAATTCGCACTCTAATAGTTCTAAGAATCAAACAGCTTAGTTCTAAGAATCAAGCAGCTTTGTATCAAAGTGAAGAATTATGTCTAGAATGTGGCACAACAAGAGCTATACACAAATCGATGGCTAATTACTCATCTTATATTCAAATAGACAGCTAGTTACGATAATCGATAGTAACTGCTACATACTGGCTATAAGGTTTACAGCATGCTTAGTGGTGTGTAATTACAAGCAATGTGTATATTGTATACAGTACTGTACTATACAGTACTGTATACAGTATACAGTACTGTATAGTTGGGCAATGTTCCAAGTGTTCGGAGCCAGGAATTTGTGTCACAAAAATATGTGAAATATTTTGCCAGGGGCTAGGAAGGAGCTGGAATGGCATAAACTATGTAGAGTAGTGGGGGTGTGACTTTCATAGCTAGCGAAACTCACTTTGCTTTGTTCTTGAAATTGTCCTCGACCAAGAAAACTGTCCCAAAAGTTCCATTTCCGATCTTTTTAGAAACAGCGTATCTGTTTACTATAACTCTGTTTACTGCTTGTATTGATAACGGCAAGTTTTGAGGGAGCATCTGATCATGACGCTACAAGAGGAGAATTGAGTGTTAGAATAAAGGGTTGAATTAGTTAAATTCAATATTATTTGATTTTGTTGTTGACGAACAATGTGATCAAAATTTTCTTTTTCAGTTTGCTGAATTTCGTTTGTACTGTGTAACGACTAACGCTATCGTAATGAACTGTGCTTTACTTTTAAAAATGTTAAGGTACACTCTAAGATGTAGTATGTTTTAAAGCAGATCAAAATATCTGGTTAAATTTTGCACGACAAAAGAATGACAAATATGTTTATGTGACGAAAGCTTAAAATCTGCCGTAGTTATTTGAGCTTTTCAATCTGTATATTTTGGCGATCTGTTTTGAAAACCGAACTTTCTTGTTCCAATAAATTAAACCACAAAATTTATTTAAACATCATACATGTTAACATAGTATGTGATCAGTTTCAGCTAAACATTTCACACCCAGCCTCGCTACATCATCCCATTCGTGACATGAAACTCAATGAAATCACCTTCAGATCACAACCCATCATTAAACCACTCACATCTCACATCTCACATCTTATCAACAGCACGTTTCTCTTCCAATAGCTGGCATTCTTGCAGCTGTCAGCTGAATAACGTGCCAGTAGCAGGACAAGTAAGTGAGCTGAATAACGTGCCAGTAGCAGGACAAGTAAGTGAGCTGAATAACGTGCCAGTAGCAGGACAAGTAAGTGATCTAGAGGTGTGGAGTATGCACACAGAGAGTGCGTGTCAATGTGTTGTGCTTGCCAACATGCTGTGCTAACACACACTTAGTCACTAATTACACTTAGTCACTAATTACGACATACTTCACAGGGTTCACACTTAATTACTTAATTAGATTACTAATTTATAATTTATGTCGTGGTATGGTGCATGTGCTGTGTATTTTGGTTATTTAGCTTGTTTTACCACTGTATGCTGGTTTATAATAATGCAGTTTTAGTATGTGATGCAGTTTTAGTATGTGATGCTGTTTTAGTATGTGATGTTACTGTAAGTTTCCCACTGAAATCTAATTTGTATTAATTAGCGAGAGCAGATCATAATAATATTACAATGAACATGACGAACATTTCCCTGATTCTGAACAATTCAGTTACATAGGTCAGCCTGCATTAATTTTTACACTTCCTTTATTCAGTAATTTGTCTTTGAGACCGTTCAATGCATTGTATCATGAGGTACTTCAACATGAGAAAGTAGAAACACATTACATTGGTGCCCGTTGCTAAGGAGTTCTAGAATATGTTCAATACAGTAATGTCACTTTAACTACAGTAACTGTGTGATATCTGCAGTAAGCTCACTAATAGATCTGATGGGGCGGATGTGTTGAAGCTTTTAGTTCTTGTTAATACTAAGTTCCCTTCTGTGGGTTTGTTTCGCATCGCTCTGCATACTTACATAGTTTGACACGGTATAGGTAGATCGACATATTTTCAGTTTCATCAGTCTGTTTCTAGAATAAAACGTCTCGCCGCCCCACAATTCAATCTTCAATATGACGAGCGTGATATCATTAGTACACCAGACACTACGTGTCGCAACGTGTACACTGTACATATTATAGAGAGAGAGAGAGAGAGAGAGAGAGAGAGAGAGAGAGAGAGAGAGAGAGAGAGAGAGAGAGAGAGAGAGAGAGAGAGAGAGAGAGAGAGAGAGAGAGAGAGAGAGAGAGAGAGAGAGAGAGAGAGAGAGAGAGAGAGAGAGAGAGAGAGATAGAGAGAGGGAGAGATAGAGAGAGAGAGAGAGAGAGAGAGAGAGAGAGAGAGAAGAGAGAGAGAGAGAGAGAGAGAGAGAGAGAGAGAGAGAGAGAGAGAGAGAGAGAGAGAGAGAGAGAGAGAGAGAGAGAGAGAGAGAGAGAGAGAGAGAGAGAGAGAGAGAGAGCCCTTAAAACCGTGGCTCTGTGACCTTGCAGGGGTATTCACTAGCTTGTAGTTGTATAAATTTGCTACTTTCCCGTGAGACTTTAATATTATTATACTATTCTGTACTGCTAACTGTACTGTTCTATTCGAGCTTTTCGTCTACAAATGAAACAAATTATTCATATTACGAAGGAGCACAGTCTGACTATGTTATAATACCACGCCTCTAACGTGTTTATAGTTCGGATGCATCAGTGTTTATTGTTTGTGATTTTGTTAAACTTTGCACAGCATTAGAGCCGAGTAATGTGTCGTAACGTAATCACATGTAATTAGTGCAGCCTATCCCGTATGATAAACTGCACATTATGTACACTACACTATTAGTTGAGTAGGTATATTCATTCAGCTGTAATAGTCGTATTAACCTGCAGATAGTGTCACGTACTATATTATTGGTATATTGTTTATTCGGCTGTATTATAGTCATATTAAATTACACCGCATGGTATGACTTGTTACTGTTTGTCTTTTAGCTAATAGTTTTATAGTATACACAGCGCATCACATGTCACATTGGCAAACAAGCAATTTTTTACATGATCTGCTTTCTTTAATTGACCGTATTTCTTCGTATCATTGACAAATAATTGTACTCCCAAATAATAGGTTCTAGTAGCCTGACTAAGGAAATAGCATTGACAATAAGACCGTATCTTGAACCAGATATCAGAGTCTAACTAGTGCATAGTAATAGTATAGGAAGAATATTGTACGTGATTATTACTTGGACAGTGTTTAGTTTTTAACACAGGACAGGTATTGATTGTCACATGATTTGCTTGTTGTTTGGCATGCTGCCAGATGCCAGGCTTCTCCCATGTGCTTCCTGAGCGCAATTAACTCTTAACTTATATTTTATTTGTGTACTTGCACTTTAATCCTAGTTTAATTGGTGTACTAAATATTATTATAGCTAGTAAAACTTCTGGTCTCATGTGATAAGGCTTATAGTTACAAGTGAATTGTTCTAGAAAAGATTTATCTTGTTGGCCGCTCATTTACATCCTCCTTCAACTGCTTACGATTTTGCTTCTTAAAGTTAAAACATCATGTGACTTTCTGGTCAGATATTTTAGGAAGACTTAATAAAATTGTTCAAACGATTTTCGTTGTCTACTTTAGTTTGTTATTACTTGAGAATTTGTTGCTTTACATCAAAGTTTTGAGTACCAATCTAAACAATAACTGGCATTCAATAACTGTTTGCTAATTACAATCTACCAAGGAAGCGAAAAGACGAATTTCTCTCTCATCAACACCGACTTTAGAAACAACCAATCAAACAACGAATGACATAATAATCTGCTTAAATACCCACAATGACAGAGCTACATGATAACTAACCTACCTTCCTTCGTGTGTACCGCGTCTCTTATCCTCCTCTACATCAACATACTCGGACTACTGTTTATGTCCAAATCTCTCATCTCCACAACAGAATGGGCACTACCTTCCTCCTCCATATTGAGCCAGTATTACGAGTTGCGATCCAGGCTGTTCCACAGCGCTAATTATTCCTGTACGTTTACTCAGAATAAGGTGGTTTTAGTTCAGCAGTTCACGCTATCTTACTCAGAATTTGTGTTTGTTTCTCTAGTGGCTCTGCTCGGGGGAGTGTACCTTATTATTAAGATAATCAGATATGTAGCCACCTTGTTCAAGGAACTCGGTCTTATAAATGTCAAAGAGAAAGCAGACTGTCCGATCTGCATGGAAAACATGAGGAGGATGATAAGAGTGACGTCACTGCCCTGTGGACATTGCTTCTGTAAGCGGTGTCTACAGCTGTGGGTGGACAAGTTCCGGTATGATACCTGCCCGATGTGTAGGGGGCCTGTGGAGAATGATAGAGGTATCCCGCCCTATGTATATGCTATTGATGTGGTCCAGATTATTTACACTGCAGTTATACATGAACTATCAGATGAGGAATACGACAGTGCATTTCTGTATTGAAAGGTTTCTACAGAGGATCACATAAAGTACTATTAATACAAGCAAATACAAATAAAGTACTGTACTAAATGTATGCGGATGCCACAGTTCGTAATTTAATGGTAAATGGACTAAGAAAAAAGTTAATTGTGTGCTTAGCTGTGAGATCATAAAGAAATGGAACAGTTTTCATTGAAGAATTTTTGTAAATTATAACTTTTAACCTTATTTTAAAACAAAAAACCGAATGATTTGAGCTCAAGGCAGGGCACACACTTTTTGGACTTTAAGATGTGAATAAAAGATTTTAATCAAAGTTGACATGAGTGTTTTAAATTATCCATTAGTATTTAGTAATGACCAAGAAAATTCTTTAACAAAACGTATTCTCTTGTATTCTTTGTCGTTGGACACAAAGGATAGGATATACTTGATGAATTCCAGGTAAATATAATTATTGAATTAATTAAAGTAGAGTAAAACTTAAATTCACTGTGTCCCGATTTAATGTGCCTAGATAATAGATACGTATACCATGAACCTAGATTTTCCCAGAGTATCTTAATCGTTATCTTTCTCTTTATTACTGACATAACTGGCTCCCTCAATTCTTACTTAAACCTCATTAGAAACATTCCAAAAAAAGCAATCATTTGTAATACTTTTAGAAATCATATCTTTCTTAAATCCTTCTAATTTAATTTTAAAGCATAAAACTGTCACAGAGTTCTTGACTTCCGGAGGGAGTTTGTTCCAATATGGAATAACTTGCTCCGGAAGAAAAGAATTCTGGCATGTTCTTGATTTTAGTTCAACTTCTACTACATCTGTTGCTTGAAACAATATTAAGACCGGATCTGTCAATTCTAAACATCCCAATCCATAATCAGTCAAACCACTTGTTACTTTAAAAGCTTCTATGAGGTCCCCACGTATTAGCTGCTCTGCCAGCGTTGTCAAATTGAGGAAATCCAGTCTACGGCTGTAGGGAAGAGTACTCATCTCATCAATCAGACGGGTAAACCGCCTCTGGACACTCTCCAGCTCCAAAACAGTAAATCCTCAGTTTTAGGGAGAGGGCCAGGAGGTTCACACACAAAAACAGAGCTAAAGGCGCTTGCAAGTACCTCAG